AAAGTGGTCTGGTAGAAGTGCATCTTCTGTTGCCACCTCTTGAAATCAAGCCCGTTGAATTTTTCGGGCTTCTCAGCAGTGGGAACATGAATAACAGGTTGGGGATGATAAACAGCGGGAGTGATAGGTGGTTGAGTTTGTGATCCTTCTCCAGTGGATGGCATCAGTTCAGTAGGTGTCGAGTATTTGTCTTGCGATTGTTACACAATAATGTGTTTTGATTACAACGGGAACCTATGAACTGAATAAAGAGTTCAATTCTTACAATATAAACTAAAATAGAAATATAAATTACAACTCGAATGCGGACAGATTAAAGCTGAGGCGATTGAAATCTTTCCGCAAGACAAATACACCCCGTATAGTGCTGACGGGTCAGTGCGTAATGCCCACAAAGATACAACGGCTATACACTTGGAAGCTGTAGCACACCAGCCTTTAGAGTCCCGGCGAACAGGAATGAAGTCGAGAACAGAGCACTTTGATATGATGCGTGAGGCTTTGAGAGTATTCAGAATGCATGAAAAATGTTGTGTGTTTTGCTCTGCAACTCTAAATCCTATTTATAGGACCTCCACTTATTGAGGGAAACCAAACAGTCACATCTGCCACTTAAGACTGAGATAATGACCACCATTAACATGAAAATGTTTCAGGTGTTAAAACACCATTAACCAGATGTTAATACCATTAAATGGTAATTAACACCATTACCTGAACAGTCACATTCTACACATTTAACAGTCAGGTGTCCAGGTTCATTTTACTTGGAGAGGTCTCACTCGGTTTGGGTAAAAACTCGAGTCCAAATCCAACTTGAATTGGATTTTTCAGTTGGACCTAAAGTTGTAAATAAATTTGTGGTAAAAAGGTATATTGTGATTGGGCCCAAGGCCCAAACCCAATCGCCCAAGTCCAGCCCAAAGTCCAATTGCCAAGAACCAAGAACCGGGCCCAGGCCCGGGCCAAGGCCCGTGCCCGAGCCGACTGGCCGACGGGTGTGCGCGCGTGTGGCCGAAAACAACACCAACACTTGGTGCATAGCTTTGTGTTTGTTGTAACCTCTACAACTCTCTTTATTATAATAAAGAAATTTCATTTAAGAGTCCAATGTGGGAATGACTCTTGACCCTTCAAATCACACAACAAACGTTTTACGTGTTCTTTAATGGCTAACTTTAACAATTTATTTCTCACTCACCGAAAATCAGTTTTGAGAAAATAAATATACCACGAGTATCTACTCGGAATATAAAATTTTTCTACAATATTTAATTCAACTCAAATTAAATATTTAGCCATAAAAAATTCAGTCAAAACCGGGTCAAACCCAAGTTTTATAACTGATTTTTCCTACCATTCTCAACTTGGTGCTTATATTTGATTCTTGTAATATTATTTGTGATCCATTAGCTTGTTCAAGATCTTTAATTTGTGCCTTTGAGGCTTTGTAGAAGGACGAGATGTCAGTTCTTCATTGCATATAGTATCTCGTTTTAGAGTGTATTAGATGACTACTTCCTCTTATTTATTATAAATGTCGTTTTAACTTTTTTGATTCATCCATTTTATCATGTATCTAGACATTAATATGTCTAGATACATGATAAAATGGATGAATCACAAAAATCAAAACGACATTTATAATGAACAGGAAGTAGTATTATCTAGTGGGATAATCTTTGTAAGACATTGATCTTTGAGTTTATGATATTTAATGGTTGTTTGAAAAAAGAAAAAGAAAAGGCAAAAGCTACCTGGCGTGAATGGTCGGTGTGACTTTAGCTTTTACAATCATTATTGTTACATTAATAAAATCATTGTTGTTACTACATTAATAAAAGAATAAAAAATTATAAAAGTCCCGTAATAATGTTAAAGTGTTGTTAACTACTAGCTTTAGCTTCAGTAATGCAATAATGTACACCACAAAAAGATGGGATTTTCATACTTACATGAAAATTCTAAAAGAAATTAATTCAGTTTCCAAGGAAGTTTGTCCATCGCACAGACAGTAAATGGATCTCCGTCGACGTCGTCTCTGACCTTATTAATCGAACGAAGTAAGCTCCATACACGTGTTCCTTCTTGCCCACAACACACCACACAGTATATATGAATAATAAAAACCCATTATTTTCTCGATAATACACTTTCCTTTTGGCTATTTCGATTATCTATTTTTAGGCGTACAGTGATGTTTTGGTGGGATTGAGAATAATATTAGGAAGCGAAAAAGGTGTATAATTTTCTGTTTTTTTTTTTTTTTTTTTTTTTTTT